AAGGCGCTGGAAAAGAGCTTAAGTGATAGAAATCTAACGTTAACTTACGTGTTGCATTTGGTCGCTTCGAACTATTGAACATATTGTAAATGTTGGTTTTCAATAAGATAATATTTTAAATCCTAATGTACAGATTAATAAATCACCTACATTTATAGCGCCAATTTCATGCCTTTTACAAATGCAATGAATTGACAAAAAAAAAACGCATTTCACATTGATCAGTAAAAACTTTATTCATATTGACATGGGTAGAAAATCAAGCGCTCACTTCACAGGATTGTATACCTTCCACTCTTCTTTAATATTGAAAACGAACGTTACTCTAGCTTCTCATATGACATAGACTGAAGTAGATGTTCTTGGTTTTATATGAATCCAACTCAGAGCCAGACACAAGGATGGAACACAGTGATCTTGAGTCGGCTTGAATCTTGGTCAGGGAATATGTACATTTTTTAGTTATTGATATTCGGTCTTGGTTTTTCTACTTATTTCAAACATGTAAAACTGTTAAAGAAGCTTAAATATGAAAATTAAACGGCATATGCTAAAATAAATATCACACTTGGGCCGGAATGTTTCATTCAGGACCTCGGGCTTTGTTGAATTTTCCGCCCTTGACCTTCGGTCTCGTGCGGAAAACTCAACAAATCCCTCGGTCCTGAATGAAACATTTTACCGGCCCCGTGTGATATTATATATTAGCATGAAATATGGGTCTGCAAGTAAGACAAAGTCAATTAGACCAACTCTTCTCCTTTTCTCTCCCCACATCATTCCATCAACCCCCAAAAGCTTTAGTTTTTTTCTGAATGCTTGAGACGAGGCCTGTTAGTATCACTGATGTTGGTTGTTGGACTTTCGTCCCCGTCTTGAGTTGAGATGTTAGTATCACAACGTTTCAGGAAGTAACTTCTCCGGCCATAGTCAAATCTGCCTCGATAGTGGAGTGGTTAGAACCGTGGACCGTCACCGGAGAAACCGGAGTTCGATTCCCGCTGACTACAGGAGCTTTCGAACGGTTGGACGCGTACGGCGCAACGCCACCAACATCCAGGCATGGATGAGAGATATATGGATGCGAGTCTCGGCGTCGGCCCCTTTGATGTCAGCGACCAGCGCGGCCACCTAGCGGCCAACAGATGAACTAAACCTAGCCACGACGCGCGGTGGGCCGCAGTGTAAAGCGTAATGACGGGGATATGTTCCGCGAATATTTTAAGGCGTTTTGGGTTGAACAATGTTACAACATGGCACAAGTGATGCCCATATCTGTTTTCTGATCATTTACAAACCAAGTCCCAGTATAATACGGACGGGAGTCGGAAGAGGAATTGGATGGGCTTGGCTTGCATGCTCCCCTTCACCCGCCACTCAAAATCTGCAGTGGGCACAGAAAGCCCGAAAAGACGTTCAGTGATTGATCATGATCAATTAGTTTGTTCATTGTATCCTTTGACGATAATACACTTACGATACGCCAGTCAGCCCAGTCATTTGGACACGAGATTCGTCTCTCCGTCCGCGGAGAGCGCGCCTCACGCACCCACACACAGACACAAACGGCCCGAGCTCAGCCCACGCGCAGGACGGCGGACGCCCGATCCAGTGTGGAGTCCATACCGGTCCACGATCGTGCCACTCGGTTGCAGATGGCTCGCGAGACCGTCGCTGGGGCCTGGCGGAGTCCCGAATACAGCCACTGGAGCCGCGAGGCGCCGCAGTGCAGCCCAGCAACACGGGAGCGGTGCAGCACAGGGAAACGGGAGCGGCTGGCTCCCGTTTCATCTCTAATCACTGTCATCTCGCCCGCACACGGCGACTCTCGACGGCAGCGCGCATCACCCCATTACGCCGCACATCAGCCCAAGACGCCGCACCCCGACCGATGACGTCAGAAATCATCCCATGATACACCACACACGTGGGGACTGACAGCGGAGGTCGAACCGCCAGCGACACCCTCAGTACACTCGCATCTACATATACACAAGCATACACGCGCGCGCACACGTGTCAGCCTGCCGTCACGCTATATAGTATACACACATTTAGACACATGCAAAAAAACTTTCGACATCGAGCTTGCACAACCATCACTGCAAGAGCGACTGTTCAGCCTAGTGAACTGAAAATGAGATCATTGAAAAGGATGGCACAGCCCTGCTCGTCACCCCACTATCTGACTACGCTCGAGATGTGACTTTGAGCAGCTTCCTGTTTTGTTTCTGCGCAGGCGCTCGCCCAGAGGATCCCTGTTTGCAGAGCCTGTACAGGTTCAGGCGAATGAAAAGGGTGATCATGAAAACCAATGCATTCTTATCGCACAGCAAGGCCAATAGATCTAGCGCCGGCTGCGAAGTCATGACACGGTTTAAGATTACCGACAGCATTCCCGACTTTGTGAATAGAGCCGGCCACAGGACTTGGGTAGTGCGGTAAGCGTACGAGACAATCTCGTAAAAGCCCTGTGTGGGCTTTACCAGGCTTCCGGCGTCTACTTCTGATGCACCGGTAAAGCTTTTCAGTCCACACATCATCTCCCGTTCAAAACACACCAAAGGATCGGGTTTTGCGAGCACAGCAGAGCACTGAACACAGGCATGTTTCTCCGCACCACGTCGCAACACCCAGCCGCCGACGTACGTCAAAATGTTCGACATCGTAGCATCGATCGGTGCAAGTGAAACGTCAACTGGCTCGGAGTTCGCTAAGGACACTTTCACTTGCGTGAGGTTGCACCTCACCCTGCGGGACACTGACGTCACAACGGTGAGGAGCGTGTCGCCATCTGGCTCGCAGTTCGCGGTGGGTGGCGCAAGAATGTTCGTTGCCACCGTCTTACGGAGGGCCATTCGAAACTTACTGGCATCCGGCAGATCATTTTGTCCATTTCTCGACCGAATGACTGAGAAGAGATTCTCACAGGCATCCTGGTTGAGGCGCCGAGTCAGCATGAACTGCAGGACCCGTCCACCATAGGTGTCCCACAGCGATAGAACGCCAGCGATGGTGAGCTGCAGACCACGCACCGACGGTACCTGAAGGCACAAATGATCACAATTACAATAAAAAAGTTACTGCATACAAACCACTTATGATAATAACGGTTCAATACGGCCTCATAATCAAGGCGATAAAATCCTAACAACACGACATATCAAAATCCATGCAGTAAAACTGATTTGGCGAAAATTGTGAAAATTTCGAAACGACGGTGTCACATCAGCAGGTCTTTGATCTCAAGATGTACCTAAAATAGCTGTCTTTGATCTCGTTCGAGGACTTATGAAGCAGACACGCGAATAAAAATGTTACGAATTGGAAGACGTGTGCTGTGAATAAATGTTATTGACAATGCGGAGCCGAACATCGCGCCGAACGTCAGTCTTTACCTGCACATTCCATCTTCCGAGCCACGCGGATGTATCTTGGAGGAAGCGTCTCCTGTCCTCGATGTTTCTCCCACTGATGGCTTCCTTCATCGGGTTAGCAGCTTTGAAGGTGCTGGAGTTAAGCACATCAAAAGTGTCGTTGAGGCGCTGTAGGAATACCGCCGTGTCCTCAGGATCAGCAGTCCTGGTCTCCGATCCGGTCTCACTCCCCAACATGCCTGCCAACACATATAATAATAACTATATTACCAGCATAAATGTTATAATCACTTCACGACAGAAGTATTCGAAAAATAGTTACTAAGAATAATTAAATATTCACCTGTTATACTGACAGGCAACCAGTCCATTGCCAAATGACCGTTAGGTGAGTATGTGCTTCGGTGGACATTAAATAAGGGAGCATTAAGTCTATGAAAATATGGTAAGTTTCACAATATTTCATTGGTGTTTGATTTAACGAGCTAATTCCAGTCACCAATTATTTTAGTTTTGAGTTTGGCCTACTAAAGTTTACAGTCAGGAACCGCCACTTACCGCATGCGCTGTACAGCGAGATGCCAACAGCTACGGAGCGGCTGAGCACTTGGGCGGCGTACCGAACTTTCATTTTCTGAAAGTTGTTGGGAGCGACGTGTTTCCGGGTGAGCTTCGGAGCGCTTCTCAGCGTCCTTTGAGAGTCCTTTTCGAAGAACTCGGTCACGTGAGACCAAGAGGCCCTCTTGTCATCTACGAGGATGTCATGCTTCATGAGGGTGTTCCTCAGACACTTGATGAGGTGCGGCACGTCGTGTATGCAGGCTACCTCTACTCCGTCCAATTCGAATGTGGGAGCTGCTGCAGAAACGCCCAGCTTTGAGTAGAGCTCCTGGTTAGGCGTACCCATATCACTAACCACGCATGCCACAGTAAATCCAGCGAGCCGCAGCTTCCTTATACACTCCTCCAGCAGAGGACGGAGGACAGATGCGGGAGTAGGACCATGGCTTAGAGTGTATCCTACAGGCTGTTTCCACTTCGAAGTCAGACCTCTTGCTAGGAAGACCAATGCATGATCGGCCTTCCTCGCAGATTTCCCCAGCTCCCCAAAATCTTCTATTCCTTCTATAGTATGACATCATCATGAGCCAAGTATGTCAGGTTGGGTCGCACCTGCATCTCGTCAAATGACAGCACGACAAGCTTTTCATGCTCTGGGGCCTCACGGAACTTCTCCTGCATCACCGAGAGTATCCAGTCTTGAAAGCCAGGCTTAAACTGGATCATCTCAATACGCTTTTGCAGACAGCGAACACTGGGCAGCACAAACGTTTTCTGCAAGTGTTTGTAGGCCTTTTCTCCCTGGTAGTAGATAGCCAGGCTCTCCATGATCTGGGCGTCAGTGAAACGTCTGCCCTTCGCCTTGACATTCGTCATTTCCAGCTGATTTTTGAAAAACCGATGCTGCTGTGGACTTAAGATCCCAGCCGTGAAGTCCAGCACATCTTTCACGCTCTTTGGTTTGCTATCCGCCAACCGGCCTTCCAGTGCCTGACGTTTTAAACGCAAGCGCCGCATCGCACACCGGTATCTGTTCAGCTTAGATTGAGTAGCCTTCGTCTCAGATGACACAGGGTGATTTTCCTTGGACTCCTCACCGGTTGCATCCGCGTCACAGTCTCCATCATCACTTGGCGAAATCGATGCAGAAGGCGCAACACGTTCGCCATCTCCAGTTTCCTCTGCTCCGAGGTCAGCCTCAGGCGAGAAGACAATGTCCATGGATGACCAGTCCATGCACGGTCCAGCAGGCTCTGCAGCAAAGGGCGGGGTAGAGAAGCGTGTTAGTACTATATCGTGAAATATGACGGGTTGACCCTATTCCTGGCGGGCACTGGAAGGTTCGGAATCTGGCAGGGGTCCTTCAAATCAAAAGTTATTGCCCAAAAACTGTTGGTGACCTGTGATGACGTCACATGACCTCCAATGAGCATTGCACAGGTCATGGACACACCTGTGGGCTTGAATTACCAAGGGAAACTACTTTTAGCATGGTTTTGGCTGTTTGGGACGCTTTTGACGCACATCAGAATGAGTTGAATTTTCCCCCATTGACTTATAATGGAGAGGTCACAAAATTGACCTGACCTTAGGTCACAGATAAAGAAAATCCAAGATATACATTTTGTAGGTACTGTCAAGGTAATCAATGCTTAAAGTATCAAAGTGGTCGGTCAACAGTTGTAGCTTGGGCACATGTTGAAAGTTTTTCAGAGGTCGTGTCACTTAACCCTCGCCGGTCCGGGGGGGTTGATGCAACCCCCCCTGAGGTTTTTCTCAGCTGCATGCCAAACCGCTTGGAGGATCGCGCTGAAACTTTGGGTACCCAATGGGGCATCCTTTGCGCAACTTTTGGCGAAAAAAAAAATTGACCGGGTCATGTCAGGTCACGGAGCTATGACGTCATAAAGGGAACAAAGTCAGGACGTTTTTGCACGAAATCGTAGTTTTTCGTGCTTTTAACGACGATGTTGGCTACGCTTTGGCATTGTTTGGGTCAAAAGTGACTGGCATGACACTGACACAACCTCCGGCGACCCATGTAAGGTCAAGGTCAGGTCAAGGTCAGGTCAGTGACCACTGGTGACCTCATGCAGTTTGACCTACCGGGGGTAATTTTTTGTCCTGAATTTGAATCTGACGCCAAATAAAGCTCAGACACTTGGTTTATTGAGTGTTTCAGGGCCGTGGAGAGGTCACCGACGGGTTAGAACACGTTTCCGACCCCAACTGTCAGACGGCATTTTCGGCCACCCGGCCGCGGATGTGACCCGGCCGGCTTCCCGGCGCTCTGCCGCGGAATCTATTGGGTAAATGTAGATAAACTATACACCAAATTGCTCCATATTCATCAAGGAACACGTTAGTGAAGACCACACGTCGATATCGGCAATAGCGGCGCCGCTAGCGATGCGCAAAGTTGAAAAAATGTCGATTTTCGAAAATTTGACCTTTGACCTGCCATAACGAGGTCAAATATTGACCTAGGGTCAAAAAAGTTGTGCTCAATCGCGAGATCTCGTCGAGAGCAACACGCTGGTTTTTCGCGAAGCGCTACCACGACGCGTTTCGAAACGGCAGGGGCGGGTCGTACCAACCCCCCCCCCCCCCCGGACCGGCGAAGGTGGCAGAATGCCGAGGACGGGCGAGGGTTAACTCGGTTCAGAGATCTGACCTGAGATGACATGCGTCTGAAATTTTCACACAATGTCCGGAAAAGATGCATGATAAGGTGTGCCAAAAACGGCGGCGCTCCGCGCCGCCTTTGTGAGATATTCGCGAAAAACCTCAGGGGGCGTCCAAACGCTCCCCCCCCCAGCGTGACGCGGGTTAACTTGAGCCAGCGACCTGACCCGACATTTTTCCAAAATGAGCTCAATGAATGTCACTGTGAAATTTCCTGCATTTAATAAGGGTAGCAGGATCTACGAAATGTACATCTCAGATTTTTTTGTGATATGCAACGTGACCAACTTTGACCTGACCTGACCTTTGACCTAGGTCAATATTTGAACTGAACAACACTATTGCATGTCACCAACAAAGGCACAGTTAAAGCAATATATCTACCTGCATTCATCATTGAAAACTCACCTTTCTTTGCTTTTTTAGCCGGTGGATCTTGGCGCTCATGCAGAACCCTTTTTGTTGCCAAAGTAGCTGGAGGGTTAGGCACGTCAAAAAGAGTTGGCACAGCAGTGCGCAGAAGGTACTTTCCACTCGTGTTGTACTGTGAAGTCTCAAAGTGCCGGGAACACAAGTAAACATTCTTGTACAAATACTCTGTACTCTTGTTTCTCAGGTCCTCTCTTCTGCAATTTTGCACCCATTTTTTGCATCTGCCGAGAGAGAAAACCCATGGATTAGAATTTAAAAACACTTAAGTCATGTACACATTGCACAGTCATGTGAATCCACCACACCAAGAAAAAAAACCATGCGCCAAACTAATGGAATACTGAAAACTCCAAAATTGACCTGCATTCAGTAAGTGTTAAAAACTAAACACAAGTTACAATTTACTTGTACTTAATGCCACCAGGAACTTTAAATGCATTCCATTTGTATAATTAGAACATGTATGAACATCAGCTCAGCACCCTAAATATAATTTTTTTACACAATCTCGATTTATCAAGATGCACAGCTTTTTTACCTTTCAGCATCTTTAGGAAACCTGTGGAACTTCAGCTCAGGATTGCGTTTTTTGTAAGTGCTGCAATTGATGGCACCACACCATGAGCTTCCATCATGATCCCTCCCCATCTTGATCAAGATCTGAAACAAAAATAGCAAAGAAATTAGGATGAAACATGGCATAGATACCTAAACACTTGTTTTAAAAACAAGAATTAGGAGAAGATTTCACAGCAACACAACACTTGTATTATTAGTAAGATATAATATAATATTTGTAACATTTGTAACCCTTGTAAGATATTCCCATTGGTAAGTCGCAAACAATCCACTCAAATATCATCACATTTCTAGTGAAATTTTATTTTTGCTGAGCATTAATTATTGCATGGAAAGAATTGACTTCAAGTGGACAGTGATCCGGTTTTTAAACCATTAAGAGAGGCAAAGTTGACCAAAGTCAAGAAAAGAAGCAAAGTCAAGTCAAGGCCGCAGGGAAAGGCAACCGCCCATATAGGGGATCACCAATATCTCTCGCTGAATCATGTCTTGTACTTGTCTGATGTCCTGTAGGTACCTACATACTTGTGCTTTCACGAATACAACAAAGACAAGTTTGTTTGTTTGTTTGTTGGGGTTTTAGGGCGCGTCAACAACTAAGGTCATATTGCGCCCACACAACAAATACAAGCACAACAGCCTGACATGCTTTGTTGCAAAATAGCGTCAAAGTTTCATATCGGGATGTGGATGATTGATAAAATTAATTCATAAGAAGCCAAGTGATGCTCTTCAACTTCATGATGTGAAATCATTCATGACGTCATAGATTCAAGAGGTGTAGGAAAATGTCAATGTCGAGCGGTGCAGGAAAACGTTTAGAGGTGCAGGAAAACATATTTTCCTACACGTCTGGGGAACCAATCAACATTGACTTCTTGTATGTTTCAAAAGTGTAGTATAATGCACATGCCATTTTAATGCCTGGCTTTCTCCATTTAATCATGCAATGATGCATGTATGGGGGAAAAATATCAAAAGTTATGCTAAACAACATGTTTTCAAAGCCCCATATATGAACAAATAATAAATTTAAGCTAACTCAAGCTAAATTCAAACTCCATTAAATATGAAAATATAAGAATTAGGAACCTCACCCTACTGGAAATAGAATGTGATCATGCGCCATTTTTGTCTGTTTACTTTGAGTTACAATAACTTAAAAGTGAAGCAAGTCAGCTTTTATTTCATGAGCCTATTTCAATTTTGAATGCTTCGAAATTCCGAATCACTCAACTATCCAGATTTATCTGATATAATTTAATAAGAAAATGGGATGTCTGTGAAAGCCGACGCACGAGCCTTAACAAGACGCCATTACAAACCCTTGAGTATCACCGATTCAAGCACTTTCACGAAGGAACCGATATGTTCACCGGCATGCCCCGGTGTTCTTACCTCAGAAAATATCCGATTCTTCGACGAACTCAATGAAATGCTCACAAAAAAAACTAAAACTCTTTCGCCGCACCACCAACCTCCATAGGCTCAGAACGCCGACTGGCCGCGCCGTCGTGGCTAGAACTTGCGCATGCGCAGAACGCACATGTGTCGCTCAAAGCGGCGGAGTTGCGCATCCAGGTAATCTCTCATCCATGATCCAGGTCCTTCTGAGGATCAAAGAACACCTGACCAGTGACGACGGCCGGAGAATAACTGGCCGAAACGTTTGAAACTAACATCTCAATTCTCAACTCAAGACGGGGACGAAGGTCCGACAACTAACATCAGTGACCCCAAAGTTTTTTTTTTCTGTGGACATACCTAACATGCAAAAGGCACAGCACAACTCCCTGTCAAGCCTCAAGATGGCTCCCTACAAGCTACAAAGGAACACTATAGAACACCTATATACATACAGATTACAAAAATTGTTATAATTATTCGTGGTTTCGAAAATGACAGAACTATCGTTTCTGTATGGCTAACAGCGCGGGAATTCTGATCTCGTTAAACTGATTAGTTTTCCTGCTTGGCAGTTGCCAACCGAGAATGAGTGACAAAATGAAATGGAACAAATAATATAAAGAAATGGGGAATATTTGTTTCTGGTCCCTAAAAAGCTGTTTCTGGCACCTAATTGCTGATCAGCCCCAAAATGCTTATTCGACCATAATATCTGAATCTGGCACCTAATTGCTTCCACACAGCCTAAAGTTGCCAGATCGTCTAGTTGAACTCCGTATTTGCTGTTTGCTGATTCAGCACCAAAACCAAAACATCCAGCACCTATTTTATTCCACGTTTGCCTACCTAATTCGCGTAATCTTCCTGATTTTATGTATCCTAACAACATGAACGTTGCATTCGGTGATGTCAAGTGCCATTTTCGCCAGTGGAGATAATGATTAATGCCATTTCTAGCCAAAAGAGAATCACTAGCCAGCTATGGTGCAGCGTAGCAAGACGCTCCTATACCAGCCCGCTATGTAGAGACTAAGAGATTATTGCACCCTCAGCCATTTTAACGTGAAAAGTTTGGATCCGTCACTTCCAGCCAGGCTCTCAGGTCATAAACTGGAGTAAAGCAAAATGTCAACTCTGACTGAACAGACATGCCACGCAACCGGCCCTCTTTTCAATATTATTAGCTTTCTGCAATCATCGCCTGACTCCATCTCGATCAAAGGCAGCATCCGGTTTCTACAGGGGTGTTTGACTCACCGGCCACACAATAACCAAAAACAAAATCAAAGCTTCATGCACACATATGCCATACGTAAGAAACGGATGAAAAAGGCACACGGCACAACTCTGCGCGGCAAACAACGGACGCAAGATCCCGCGTTTCTTCAGCGGCCTTGAACGGAATGAAAACATTACATTTCTTTTTTGGAGCTATTTGATGACGTCAAAAAATACAATACCCGTTTTAATGGTCAAAATCGAGACAATTACTCACAAAAATGTTTCCCTTTAAGCATTACAAATAAATACTTTTAAATATTTAAATGACATTGTTTTTTTTTTCAAACAAATTAATATTATTTGCTTACTTAAACGTCATATACAATGCTGAGATCACTACGGGGCTGTCTTAGAGTGTAGCTGCACTGGCAACCTTTAGGCTAGACTCCAGGGGTCATTATACTAGAACAACATGATTCTACCAGCCAGTAGTTCATTTTTCTACTAGATTGGTGCTACGCTCAGCATTTAGGTGCCAGATTCAGAAAAAAGAGTAAGGCGTACCGATGAATAGGTGCCAGAAACAGCTAATTAAGGTCATTTTCCATGATTGGAGCTGGTATCCACCAAATAGGTGCTGAGGACCAATTTTGGGGCGAGTCAGCTTTTAGGTGCCAGAAATAGCTTTTCTGGGACGCAATTAAATGGCGTCCTAAAGAAATTGACTGGTGTTTTAGCTAACGTATAGGGGGGGGGGGTCCGTTGGAATCCATCGTCGTTTGACCCCTGGTGGAGCTAGAGCTTCGGGGAAAAAACGGGCGTGTTGCCCGAGACGCGAGGAAGCCGATGATAACCAACTTTAAGGTCCTAGGTCATTGGTTAACCTTCCAGGCCAGGTCAATTACCCAGAAGTCGGGAAAATAGGAGGTTATTTGAAGTCCGTAAGGCAAGGTTATTATTTTTTGGCTGTTGCTGATCACGAATGTCATGTTTGTTTTGATCACATGTGTCTTCGCACATTTAGGCCAGGTCAGGTCAGGTCAACCAGTAGGTGTCCTGCCGGCTATCCATAGGGAGTGTCAAGTGTCAATTACCACTGACGGTGTCGTAACATGTTACGAAGGCACTAAAACTACTTCGTAAATGATCAAATGCATGTTAAATTCGACATCGGCCCGAAAAAAAACTACCCTAGAAACATGTAAAACTCCAATAAGTGAGCCGAGGTCACCAAAGGTCAATGACCTGACCTGACCTTCAGGTGACCTTGACAGTTGACACCCACAATACTGCATGGGACCAACATCATTTACATGTTTGGACGTTACAATCACAAAAAGACTGGAAATGCGCGGATAACGTGAGCCGACTACGCCAAATCGCGATTCCGGCCAAGCATGGTCTCGAGAGTCAGGTCACAAGTCAAAAACCATTTGAGTCAGGGTCATGAAATTTTACAACATATGTAAAATTGATAAATTCGAGAGGCACTGAAAGTTTCGTCGCGATCGGCCGCTTTTTGCGCGAGTTATGTGCGAAAAGCCGAGGTGGTCCGTTCGCCCGCCTATAAGTGCGAGGGTTAATTTTGGCTTTTGATGCCGAATTCTGTTTTATGTCGCTTATTTCACCTGATAGAATACAGTCCGAATTAGATTCGCTTCACTTCACCTCATAAATATTTTGTTGACTACCAGTCAACAAAAGCTCAGAAGTATATGTATTCTTTCATTTCAATCCATTATCTCTGTCAGAGGCATATCAACCTTGACCCGCAACTGACAATGTGTTTTAATTACAAGAAAATACACTTATAATTCCAAAATATATTGCCAGTTTTGATACCGTTGGCTTGAGGACACGTGACTAGCCATGTTCAGAATGTTCTAAGTAAAACTAAGTATCATAAAGCGAAAAAATGATGCTGCTAAAATCAAGCCATTTTGATAGCGCTGTGTTGGACATGATTGCATTTTCATGAATGTGAGGTCTGCTGCCAAACTACTATCATTTTTCCGATGGTTTCTTTCAGGATGTGTTCTCTCATCCTTTTTAAACACTGGCATTTTATCAACTCACCTCCTAGCTTCTTTAGCCGAGAAATTTTGAAAATTCCAAAATCATATCAACTCACCACCTCCCAGGGGGTGAGTTGATATGAACTTTGGCGTTTTAAAAAAGGGGCTTAATATATACATTTTTTATTCATTTTTGCTGATTGCCTCCCCAAGGCATGTGCCATGAAACTGGCACGAAAAGAATTCCGTAAATGAATGTGTCTTTTAAAGAAATCTAGAATAACCTCAAAATCCATATCAACTCACCCCGGTTTACGGTACTCATCTGAAGCGTCTCGTCGGTTCTTTCGTTTGCCGCCTCGTGCGTTTCGCTGCGCCTATTGGTTCTCGAGTTATCGGCTGGGGGCGTTTAACGCCCCCCCCCCCCAGCAAACGGTGGGTGGCGAAATACCCCAGCAACTGCCGGGTTAAAGGGACAGTATCATCGAAAAAAAAAATCCATGTATGGAGCTGATTTTTTTTAAACTAGCATTTCTTATTTTTCTGAATCAGAAAAACATAGTATGAGGACCGAACTCGGTGAAAAATATTGCAACCACATTTCATTTTCATGATTCATTTTCATGAGCGAACCACCACTATACAAGCATGGCCGCCAGTTTGGAAGCATGCAAAACTACTACAGAACTGGCGCAGATAATACATTATTGACGCTACGCTTACGCGGTCGTTCTTCTGATTGAGTTGTCCTTAGGGAGAGGTAGCCTTAGGTATTGCCTATAAAAATATAACGTGAAAATTGGAGAGAGTGACAATTGGACGTGACAATTGACAATGGGAGAAAATATCACGTGACAATCACGTGATAAACGTCATACATTGGAGGGAGATTGTGATTCAAGCTGGAGGAATTCCTTTGTTGAGCCGCTAGAATCCGAAGGAAACAGCGGAAATTGCCTACGACTATTTAATGAATTTAACGGTGATGAATAAGTGCGAAAAACGTTTTGGCTTTATAAAATTTGATAAAATGACCAGGGTAAAAGTTTTATTACTGGCGGTCAATTCAAAACGGCGCAAACATTTAAACAGTGAAGATAGTGAAGCACGATTCAAAGTGTGGTACACCTTTCGTACTTTGAGCGGCGATAGCGGGATAACGGTGCGGAGCTTCGAGGATCGGTCTTCAGTTCCCGGACCAGAAAGGTGGGGCCTATGCAATGTCAAATTTCATCAAAATGGTGATACTGTCCCTTTAAGGTTGGGGTGCTACAGCACGTGCGCACGTGCAGGGGGCGCTCCCAGATCTCGAGAACGGCTGGGCCGATTGCGCTCAAATTTGGTACACGGCTGGGGACCAGTTAGTAGGGTGCCGTGCAAAAGTCAGTTTGGACCCCGTTTGCACGTGCGCACGTGCAGAATGCCGCTTCCAGATCTCAGGAACGGCTGGGCCGATTGCGTTCAAATTTGGCACACCGCTAGCGACCGGTTAGAAGGGTGCTTTGCACAAGCCCGTTGGAAGTACCCTCTCGCCCTTGCGCACGTGCAGGGCTCACTATCTCGCTCGCTCGTTCTTCGCCCAAAAGGCGTTTTACTGGTGTATGGTGTTTGAGAGATAGATCTGTCTGGGGTCTCAAACATACCTCTCTGGTTTTGCAGCCGGCATTCACCAGTACCTACCGGGGACGACCGGAGCAAAAGCGAGCTATGCACTGAGCTGATAAGCTACTGAACTTGAGAGATTCTATGATTTTCTGAACATTTCATTATTTCGATAGTTTTTATAGATATTTAAGCGATTGAGTGCAAATTATGCTGTGTGCTTCTAACGAGGTATTACACATTGGGCTATGGAGCGGCCGGGAGATACCTACATGATACATACTCATTTCTCTGACGGCAGCACCGGAGTCGACCGGAGCCTACGCTA